GGATAATTTCCCACGCTTTGAATTTTGACATTTGTCAATTCTGTCATGTCAGTGAATGTACTCGTGTTGTTTTGCGAAAATGTACCCAAAGTCTAACGGTCGTAGAAAAAGTGTAGTATGCAACACGTTCAGTAAACTTTTTAACTCACTCGCTCCGCTCGTGTCAAATAAACTCGTGAGTTAAATGCCGTTTACCGCATTTGTTGCAGACATCATTTGACAACGGTACCATATGACCTAATATAATTAGTGCTGCCACCTACACTACGTACTGACAACCATTTTAAAATTTGAAATCCATAGAAATAAAACACTGGCTATTAATTAGAATAAAAATTTGGAGAAATTATGTAGATAAAAAATTATTAGAAGCTATTTCTGAAAAGTTCAAAATTTAGTAACTTTTAATGGCTGTAATTAATCTTCTTTTAATGATAATCGTACTGTGTTATACGGTTTTGGAAGGCTTAAAGATTCAACTTTAACAATAAAAATTGATTTTTTTGCAAAAAATCGCCAATATTATACGTAAATTTAATAACAAAATACACTTCAATACAAACTTTCAAAGATAATGAATCCAAAAGCCACATACTTACCACTCTTGCCACATTTAAACAATCACATTTCAGAGGTTCTTAAGAAATATAATCTTAAACTAGGCTCAAAGAACATGAATGAATCTTAAAACTATGTCAAATAAACTCATTAGCAGCTGCCGAACACAACCATGAAACCGGAAATGAAATCCAAACAAAAGAAAAATACGAGCATCCATAGAACACTATAAGTAACCAAACAATCTGGTCTCTGGTCTTTAACTGTCAGCAATATGCGGATCAATCATCCTAGACAAGCTTCTCCCCCCTCAAACAATATATAGGCAGGTGCAGAGTAGAATAGGAGCCAGTTTCAGTTAAGCTCTGAAGAAGGCAACAGAATGATTGGCGAAACGTCAACAAGATCGATTCATCAACAACCGAAGCAGGAAGTTTGTAAATATTAAAAATATGCGTGGTCTGCCAATTATGAAAATATAGATTTTTCAGTTTTCAATTTAGAGTTTCAGTTTTCAGTTGAAGAATTTCAAAACGAATAAAAAAAACAAAAATAGCTAAAATTTTTGGGACTAATGACTCACCCTGTACTGTCTTATTAGTTAGAGGGGAAGACAAAAACAGTTTACCTTTTAATTAGCCTTAGATTGGTAATCAAAAGGTACTGTCTGGCTTGAATGAACTTGCTAACAAAAAAACAAATAAAACAGACGTATTAAAATAGATTAGAAGAGATTATATGTGAATTGATTTGGAATACACAAGTGCAAGGATTTGTGGATTTAATTATTTTATTTATAGAAGGAGATATTGTTGAGGGAATAACCCCGCCATAAAATAAGATTTAATAAATAGTTTAATTGTTTCTTCATACTAAAATTATTTTGAAATCCACTTAGTCCACTATACAAATTAGATCTTTCCATACATCATGACAATAGTTACGAACCATCTTTGGTAGATAAGATTACATAAAAATCGGTTTCTAATAATTATGAACTATATTTAACCCATATTAAAAATCGAACCCAAAATTTTTAAAACAAAATTTCAACAAACGTGTGGTCCCAGGATTGCTTTTAACACTGAAAAAACACCAGGAAAATATTTACAAAACAATAAAACTCAGTCACACAAGACACAAAAATCCAGAGTCTACAGGTTAAAATGAGGATCATGTCCTGATATTTGTATTAGATAAACAGGTAGAACATTCACATAACTTATTAACAAACTTAAAAGAGCGTACGAAATTAAAAATTGGTATTATAATTATGTAATTCATTTAAATTAGGTATGTACAAGTTTGATTATAATATTGATATCTTACATAATGAATCAAAAACCAAAAAAAATAAGTTTATTGGAAGCTACGGAGATTAACAAAATGAGATCTTCGAATTCAGCTACAAGTTAAATACTCTACAATAACTGTGTTTTGTTTATAGACTTCCTATTTATTTCCTGGTTTATTTCCAGATTTTCAAAAGAGCAATAGTGGAATAGAGCAACTAACTAGCTGAACTTTTCCAAGGACAATTAAAAATAAAAACTCCATTTTGAAAAAAAATCGGCTATTTTGCCAGTTTCTGCTAATTTGTAACTTTTTACTGTGATTAAGTAATGTTACCAAACCAAAACCAACTAAAAAATATTCCAATTTTTGTCTGCTTCTGTTTCTAAAAATGGGTGCTAGTTTATGAGATAATTAAAATCGCAAAATCTCCTGGGACCTCAAGTAAATGTTATCAACGAGTTTTGTTCACCAAAACCTGACGTCCTCCTGCTTTTAGCCAATCAGGAATTTTCGCGACCACGCGACAACAGGATAAGTAATTTATTACTTTAAAGTCACATTAAAGAATAAAAAGGGTATTTGTTGGTAAGTTAGCCAAGCTAGATGTTCAACAGGCCTGTGCCCTGAACTTGCGACGTAAGCTTACGACTTATTATTTCTGTAGTATTTGTTACCCCTTTTATTAGAGCAATAGTATATTATGCAACAAGTGCGGTAAACGGCAGTTTACCGAACGTGTTGTATACTATACTTTTTCTACGACCGTTACTTTTTCGCAAAACAACACAAATACATTTGCTGACATGACCGTCAGAATTGATAAACATGGGAAATATCTGAAGGAAATGTATGAAGTGGCTCGGATCCGTGGGAAACGAAACTGACGTGGTAACTTGACTCTTCCCGTACATTAGATCGGTATATAATTCGATATTTTACATACGGGAATAGAAAAAGATTATTTACATACTAAGAACACACGAGAAAAGATTTACAAAAAATCGAAAAACGTTACATAAGGAAAATTGAAGTCGTTTAGGCCACAGGTCTATTAAGAAAATAATTCGAAATGGAGTTGTTCGATATTGTCCCAAGAAGTTTTGATTTCTTTTAATGTTCCAAACGAAGAAATCCATTAATGTCAAGTCCGGACTTTTCTCTGGTCAACCAATATTTATAGTTATTCCACGTCGTGAAAGAAAATTTTTGATCCGGACGACATTCTGTGGATGCGCACTACCCTGCTCTCATGTTATTTGTGATGATATATTTAGCGATATATTTTCTCTTATATCGCGCTATATTGTGTTCTATCAATAGCGTTCTGCTTACAACATTGTGTATTTACAACATTAATCGACTGCTATGGGATTTTATTTCATGTATTTGTCTAGGATTATTTATTGACCAGTATCTATTACAGTTTTTTATTGTAGTGAATGGTCTTCTGTCGGTCCATAAAGTACATTTTTAAAAATTATTATTTTCGTTATATCTATTTAAAAATTTCAAACAAAACTGCGTTCTTATAGGTCTTATGAAATTAAAATGCATTGTAACGGACTATATATCTTCAAAATTGCGAAGAAGTACGTCTCTAATGACAGGCTGAGGTGACGGAAGAAACCAGATGTTCTTCAAGGAACCCTTATATATTTGTTTTATTTTATTCATTGTGGTTTCTTCATATTTGTTTCCTAATATTGTAAATGTCTGTTTGTTAATATTTTTTAAAATAAAAATCAAAATACTACGTACAACTATAGCAGTTGACACAGGAGGAAATCCTTTTATTTTTAACGATAAGGTAAATAAAATACAAAATTTAGGGAAACCATCTCAGTGAAGCTATGAACAAGCAAACAGTGAGCAAGTGCGATTCGTAAGCAACCTACGCAGGAGCAATCAAGAACAAGCGTAAATAGCATTACAGTACCCTGTAAAAAAATTGCCAATGAAAATGTTATCAAGAGAAATTGAAACCAAAGTACCCTAAAGTTTTTGAGCTGCTAAAAGAACGAAACGTAAACCAAAGGACTATAGACATCATTCGGGACATGAACAGCGGAAATAGCACATATGTAAAGGTAAACAACGAACTCTCCAGTAAAATACCAGTATCAACAGGGATCAGATAAGGAGATAGCCTCAGTCTAATACTCTTCAATATTATAATGGACAAAATAATAAAAGAAGTCAAAACTGCAGGCAGAGGATACAGAATGGGAAAACATGAGTTTAAGATAATTTGCTACGCTGATGATGCGGTTGTGATATCGGAAAATGAGTATAATCTGCAAAAAGTACTACACGGATTCGAAACAGCTGCAGGAAAATTCAATATGATCATATCGACACAGAAGACACAATCCTTGACAATAGCGGAGAACCCAGAAGATGCAAACTGGCAATTTATAATAAAAGTGTGGAGCAGGTTATGTATTTTAAGTATCTAGGGGTTAACATCACGAGCAATAGGAACCTGAAACAAGAAGTAAAAATGCAAACAATAGTAGCATCTAGGATATCGGGATTCCTTCGAACCGTGATATGGAGGAATGAATACTTAAGTATCGAAAGCAAAACACGGATATATAAAACTTGTGTTAGATCAGTTATGACATACGCCATAGAAACGAGGGCAGAGACTGCAGCTACTAAACAGATTCTTAGAACGAGCGAGATGAAGACATTACGTTCAATCACAGGGAAAACGCTAAGAGACAGAATAAGGAGCAATGAAATTAGAAGAATGTGTGACGTTCCGAATATAATAAGATGGGCCAGAACTAGAAGAAGAGCATGGAGAGATCATGTCAATAGAATGGAAGACGATCGACTGGCGAAAATCGCAAAAGAAGAGAGACCCAATGCAAGCAGACCTCCCGGAAGACCACCAAAGCGCTGGTATGAGAGCTGGACCTCGGAGTCTTAAAATAAGAAGAAGAAGAAGAAGAAGAATTTAGTGGTCAACATTTTTCGTATATATGTAATGTTGCTAAGCCTAAGTTTATGTACTTTATGTAAAGAATATAAAGAGGGCCTAAAAATTAACACCCCCTCGACCTTTCATGTCATTCAAAATTATTCGGAAACTTACTTAAGTTTCGACATGCTAATTTTTACATTTACAAATATTTACTAACCTAGAGCTTCCTTGCCTTTGAAGTCCGCCATACAAGGAGCTGTTCCAGGTGGAAATTCTGGCCAAGCTGACGTCCGTTCCGATTCTATTCAAACTAGCCATTGCACCCGCCGGAAACTGATCGATATTTGGCCCCTTTGCTATAGCAGATTCGCCGTTACTTCTTCGCGAAATTAGCGGCGAATCTCCTCCGATTTTAAACTTGGGTTTGTCGTAGATCGCGTCGACATCTTCGTCGTGTTCTTTAATTGTTTTCGGCGGGAAGAACGGCAACTTTTGACGCGACGGTGTCGTCGCATTTCCGGCCATTTCGTTCGAAATCTTTGCGAGGCGTTACGAATGCGATTGGTGGTGGGAATTTTTATACATTGTGTCTGAAAAAATGGTTATTATTTATTATATTATTTATTATTATAATTATATTATTTAGTCAGTAATAATTTCTGGACAAAGTTCGTCGTAGCCGAAAGTAAAAGAAAAGTTGGAAAAACAGTAAAAGAAGCCAGAAAAAGTAAGGCTAACTGGGAAGATCTGAAAAAGTCCAAATTATGCTATGCTACAAATTCGTTTATAGGTATAGCGTAGTACACGATAAATGACCATGACTTGACAAGGCAATTTACCTTCAATAAACCTAGCAATAAACAATAAAATCCAGATTTATAGATAGAATCGAAGAGACAAACGAACTAAAAAGAAAGTGTCAAATACTTGCTGGAAGAGAATTATTTTACAAGTATATGAAGGTAAAACTTATATTTATATTTTTATCTTTATTAACGCACAATTGCACATACTGTTTCTAGGTAGTAAAATTTAAAAAAAAACTAAAAAGACTTACTTAGCAACATAGCCAATACAAAAATCTGCTTGTAATTTAACTAACCAAAAATTCATGGCATGGGAGGACAGCGGACTTACCTAGTATACTAAGGTCAAGCTTGTACCGATTGCTTGATAGTATTTCATTAGAATGGAAGGCACGATGTGACAAAGCATAGTGACAATAGAAACGGCGATACAGAATGTATGAGAGTAATCAGATTCCGTCACTTACATTGCAACAGAAATTAAAAGCAAATGGTCGATTAACTCTGGCAGTCGTGAAATATTGCGATCATTTATGCACAAAATCGAATTTAGATTTAAAAATATTGACAAGCATTAAAGCGACCCAACAATTGGTGAAATGGAGACACAAATATGTAACTCAAATTCATCTATTTCTCGTAGCAAAACGAAATATATATTATTGAGACGAGATTTGGCTCGACACTGATGATTAGAAACGCAAAATTCTTCATCAAACAACATTCCGAATGTACCTGCAGCTAGAGGAAAAAGAACATCCTGTGGGAAAATTAGGTGCCAAACGCTTTGCTGCCATACACAGAAAACGTTAGACTACCATCAGGACATAACAAGTGAATGCGTAATAGTTTATGATAATGCTAGTTATAAAATACCAACAATCAACAGCAAAAAAGAGGAATTACAAGAATCCCTTGGTCAGCATGAGCTTCAAACGAAAAAACAACTAGCTAGTGTTTTAAGAGCCGCACTAAAGAAATTGAAACCAGACAAAACTTCAAAGAAAGACAACAGATCTACCGAAGTGATAAAAGCAATGGGACATATGGCGCTGTTGATATACTGCATTAAATATGCCAAGGGGACCGGTTAAGTGGATCCTGGTCCAAAGATTGGTCCACATCATAGTTATTCCATACATAAAAAAGGCTCCAAAGAAAAATGTGGAAACTACAGACTTATAGTATTACTTTCACATGCTAGCAAAATCCTCTTAACTATTATTAATGAAAGTTTAGAAGCTTTCTTATAATGTCAAATCCACCTGAAAAGCCTAGCTTCGCAAAAGGCAGGTGAAACAGAATATAAACGTTGGACAAATAAATACGAAAGGGACGTGAATTTAACAAGAAACCCTGTTCAACATATATAAAAAATACGTTATGAATAACGTGCTGGAATACAAATAAGGTATGCAGAGCACATTGTTCAGCTGGCAAACAAATCGGATAAACTTAGCTAGCTATGGAATTGCTAGAGAACGAAAGCCGCAACTATGGCCAGGCCAGGTCATGATCGAGATCGAAATAAGAGATGAGACAATCTCAAGTAATAAACCAGTTCATATATCTGGGAGAAAGGATAGAAAATGCAAAATGAGCAACAAAAAGTTTGGATAAAACACGAAAAAGGGCATTGTCACAACACTAAATTTCCGGGACTATCAATAAAAAAGGCATGCGCTGGAAATGTATTACTGGGTACGAGTGCTGCGTATCACCTGGATTGAGCTACGAACAAATCAATCTATTCTAGATGAGATCATAGATATAATAATGTCTTATTAATATGATAAATATTATGTTATTGTAATGTTTAGTGGATGGTTGGATGTGGGTCATCTACAAAAAACCAAATGTGCCTGTGTTCTGTGTTTATGTCATTTTAATTAACTTCCTATAATAATTAAAGATTTTCAAAGGGATATAATTGGTATAATTTTTATATTATAGAAAAGTGTTTTGTCTATATTAGATAGCCAGATAGACGACAATCGTTTCCAGATATATTTGCTCTTAACAAAATTAATTTAGTTACCCACGGATTCTTTATTCCACCGCGTTCTAAAAATTATTTCTAGGAGAATAGGGAGCAAATAATAAAGTATGTATTAGGTTACATAGAAGCATCGCCGTCATCATTTTGCAAACACATAGAAAAAGCTGTAGCGGTGCTAAAACCTACTGCCCAAAGAATTTAAATAAGTTAAAGGGTGTTCAACATCTTGGCGCTGCCGAGCGCCGGACGCAGTTTTGCCACTGGTATTTGCAACATGGTCCGACGAATGCTACGGAAGTTTGGGAATTTTTAATCGCCAAACAAGAAGAACTGGTCGACAGACAACTACCATTTAATTTTTGAACGAGCTCAACAAGGACGCTTTGGGGTTGGGGAATCATGTTTTATTTGGGGACAACAAATAGCCTATCGAATTTATGAAGGGGCTCTTACACCACGTAGGTACTTCTTGAAGAAGTTATTCCAGAAGATGGTACCCCAAGTCATAACTCTGGACTTTTAAGACCATTTCTAGATGACAACTTCCTTCAAAAACGGATAGATACCAACGGACCTCCACGATCTTCGGATCCTTAAGGTCAATTTTTTTTTATTGATTTACTTTCGAAACTCTACGAAGGAGACGAATGCCATTAAGAAACTAAGTAATATATGCGAGTTTTGCATTCGAGAAAATGGTCTCCAATTTTAACAACAATTTTTGGTACAATAATATGTTAATAATTTTTAGATATAATGTTATTTCGTGTTAATTATTGCCATAATGGACTGCATTAAGTTGAAACTTGTTACAAAGAGTAGATCATAACGTATAAAACACATTTTTTGAAGTATTGAGTTTTTTGTATGTTAATATTTGTTTACTTGGATATTGTTTTTAATAGATTAAAAATGGCCTACTACTATGCTATACTGTTATGTTTGCTTCATAACTACTAAACGGTTAGGGCAAGTAAAAAGCATACTAGGTCACTGTACGGGGGTGGTCCCAAAATCGATAATTTTTTATTTCACCCTGTATTTCAAAAACCAAGAGGGACATGATAACTTTGTTGACATGTAAACTGCGACTCTCTGTCTTTAAAAATAACTGAGATACCCCGTAAAAGTGGTCCGGATCTTTCTTTTTTGAAAGAACATAGCGAAACTAGACAACTGTGCATGCTCCTTTAAAATTTAAACGTCACATCCTTCAATATTATTTTAGCAGACAGTACAATAACCATTGAGATCACTAGAAGAGTGAAGCGCTTAAAAACTGAGGGCATTCACCTGTACCTGTTTTTTCATACCAAAAACATTGTAATATTTTTTATTTTTCACGCGGTTGCGTGGAGCAGGGTGAAAAAACACCTGCGGCTAGTCGATCATTGCACTTGGTCATTTTCCACATTGTATATTTGTAAATATTTTTTATGGTATTACTGTATCCTGTTTTATAGCACAATATATGATGTGGAAATAAAGTGACAATTATGATTATTTTTCGACATCAACACAAGTTTTTTGCATAATCCATTTCCCTAAACAGGACATAAGTTAGTCGCGACAAACCAAAGTAGACCACTGGATAACAGCCCAATAAAAAAATTATTAATGTATTTATTTTACTTACACGGTTCCCCGGGTTCAAATTGAGCCCATTCCGTTTAAGTGATTGTCACCACGTCGACCACTGTTCTTCGACTAACGCGACGATGCAGAGCGGGCAGGTGATCCATTTCGTTTAAAAAAAATTGCCCGCGTTTCAAATTGCGATTGTTCAAATTAATTAACGAGAAATTGCGTTCGTCCAATCTTCGAAAAACGCGTTACCGCGAAATAGTACTTAAGTAAAAGCTGAGCGCGGTGAAAAGTGGCGGACCTCTCAGTAAACATAATCGCTTAACTCTGTATCACGTTCAAGGTCGTTGCGGTAATTTTTCGATGGGCTCGAGATGTTCGTGATTGCATTTAGAAATTTTAGAAAAATATTTTAAATCTATCTTGCTCGTCACGCCGGATCAGGGCAATACTGGGCGTTCTAGTTTTGAGAAAATCAGTTTTAAATCATGTTTTGATAACTCAGTTATCAATAAATGTTGTATTAGGTTGCGAATGAAACAAATGGTAATTAATGCGTCAATGGTCAAATACTTTTTTTCACGTTACGCATGGATAAAATTTGCTTTCATATTATAACGGTTGTCCAAAAAGTGCCAATTGTAGCAAATTTGTTTTATTAGAAAATTGTGAGTTTAATTAACTTACACGTAAACCTAAATGCTTCTTTTATTTTATTTTACCGTAAAAACAACATTTTAAATTCCAGTTTTCCATCTTATATAATGTGTGCGACGACGTATTTTAATAATAATAATAATAATGATAATAACGATAATAATAGAGGCCTTTATTTTCAATAATCAAAAAGTCAATAATAAACAAAAAAAAATCAATTTAGAAAAAGGCGAGGTTTTTTATTTATAATTAACTAGCGAACACTGTTTTTCAAGAAGATATCGAAAGTATGGTTTATCAGTTTTTGATAAGGTTATTATATTTAATTTAGGGGTAAATGATTTATACCTACATTTGATGGCGTGTACGTCATTTATAAATTTTATTTTTTCATATAAGTAAGGAGGGAATTTATTCATAAAGATCTTAGAAAATAGGCAAGCAGATTGCATATATCTTCAATTTATACATCAATTATATATCTCAAGTTTTCTTTCATCAAATATCAGCCTCAAACAGCAGTTTTGTAATTTCCGAATACGAAAAATATCGATGTGATTCAAACATAGATGAAAGAAAACATCACAGAAATTTAGTTGTGATGCACACAACAATATTTTTGTTTTTTTATTTAAATAATACTTATTTTGGTAAATAATCTTTAAATTGAAGTAAGCTTTTTGAGGCCATTTAAATATGTGATTTGAAAACCGCAATTCACTGTCTAGTAGACCTACATTTTTTACAGTGTCATTATACTGAGTTACTCGATCTGGTTCTTTAAATGTAAGTTGAAAGGAACTTTTGTGTTTCTTAATCTAATAAAAAGGTTTGACAACTTGTGTCGGTTAAAAGTTAAGTCTCAAAGCATTATTAATGAGTCGGAAATATGTGATCTTTGCGAGATTTGCGAAGTTCATTTAGACCCTAACTAACCAGAAATGAAGTACTCGAAGTACTCAACTCGCTTGAACCTAACAAGGGCGGTAGTTCTGACGCTATTTTTAGTAAGGGAGTACTCCATCGGTATCTCAGGCCCTATGCTCTTATTATTTAATCAATCATTTGTTGCCGGTATTTTTACAGAATTAGTTATTAGCTTGGTGTATTCACTGAAATCTTCGAGAAACTTTTTATAAATACTTGGTAAAGAGGCAAATTATTTCAGAACATTTAAAAAGAGATTTTGGACTTCCGATAATGCGAATCTGCTTAAGGCTAAAGCAGCTACTAATTATTGCAATGAGCACTAAGACAATTGTCAAAAATATCAGCAGACTAATATCTAAAATGTTTTAGGTTATAAAAAATAAATCTTGCCACACAGTACTCAAGTTAAACTAGTTAAAATACGTCACTAAATTTAGTATTTCATATTTTATTGCATACTTATTTATTCAATGAAAAAAATGCAAAAAATCATTTTTTTTCTTTAACGTGGTAATTTAGATTTTTGACTTGAATGCTACAAATTTATTTTATTTTTGTATTTAATTAAAATTTATAGTAGCGTCCTACCAGTTGTAAGCAAAATGTACTGAGCTCTTACCTTTGAATTCGATTTTCAAAATTCATTGCACACAAAAAAACAACGACCCTGTAGCGGGAACATATGAGTTTGTAATATAAAATTCTCTCGCCGTTACCATCAGTGGGGAGCCAATTAACTCGAATTCATTGAGTTGTTTTAATTGGTATGGTTTTAGCACAATAGGAACATGATTTAGTGGTAATATTTCCTGCTAATTATTTTGGCAGTTTTGTTGTTTTTTTTTGTACGGGTTGCTGACTTTGGCTTAGTATTAGTAGATTTTTTAATGTAACAGAACAGTACAAAACTGATGTATGTATTCTCTAGTTTTGCTGTTAGTCTTCAACCTTTATCGAACATGAAATAAATACTCCATAGAGAGCAAAATTGCTTCAAATCTCTCTCTGCAGAGCCTAGGTATCTGTATCTGTTATATGCCATAAATTTGATATTTTTTTATGTAGTTTTCAATAGAATGCGATTTATTGCAATGACCAACACAAATTGGACACTTTTAAAACTTCTCTTTCTAAAGAAAGGTTTCATTTAATCTTCTATATTATGTAAAATTCCTCATATTCTGTTCTAATAAATATTTGCAAAGCATCTTTATACGTAAAATTTAGTGTTTAATGGGACAACTTGTTAAATAATTAAAAACAATTTAAAATTACCTTTAAAAAAATATGGCGCAGTTGTTATTTTGATCTTGCTATTATTCAAGTTTTTTGAAGTTACAATAAGTCCTGAACAGCATGTTCATAAAACAGAAAACAAATGGGTACTCGTAGTTATCAAATTGTGATTTTTACTATTTAAGATATCAAACTTTAGTATTTAATATAATATAAATCGGATACGAATTCGCTTTAAAAATAAAATATAACAACATTATTAAGGCTTTGAGAAGAAAGGGTCAAAAACTACCGAGTTGCATCAAATAGGGTTAGGAAGTTTCAAGGAGTAGAAGTCTTATGATCCGTTCCAAATAATCCTAGAATCTCAGTACGAAAATTTCTTACCTGGTATTAGTCGAAACCTATACAGTAACTTTTTAGACGTGGTTTGGGCAGTTCCCCAGGACAGTGTTTAGGGTTCTGGTCAATTTCCAACTGACTTTCAACTATATCTCAGTTTTAATTTCACGGATCTCGCAGAACATCAAATAAATCATAGTCTAAAGAGTGCAAGTGACATCTCCCTTGCACACAAGCTTCTTTAAATTTCAGCTCGTTTTGTTTGGCAATAGCGACGATGCTGCTTCAATGTAATATGAGTGTATATAGGGTGTTTTTTTTTTCGATATATAGAACTAAGTTGCAATAAAACAACGATAGAAGATAATCTTGTGGCATTACATTTTAAATATGATTTCTGGCATATGACCGCCACGGCTGGCGCGGATGTAGTCCAATCTGGACGTCCAATTTTCGATGACTTTTTCCAACATTTGTGTCAGTATATCGGCAATAACACGGCGAATGTTGTATTCCAAATGGTCAAGCGTTTGTGACTTATCCGCATAGACCAATGACTTTACATAGCCCCACAGAAAGTAGTCTGGGGGTGTTAAATCACAAGATCTTGGAGGCCAATTCACAGGTCCAAAACGTGAAATTAGGCGGTCACCAAACGTGTCTTTCAATAAATCGATTGTGGCACGAGCTGTGTGACATGTTGCGCCGTCTTGTTGAAACCACATCTCCTAGACATCATGGTTATTCAATTCAGGAATGGAAGAGTTAGTTATCATAGCTCTATACCGATTACCATTGAATGTAACGTTCTGGCCATCATGGTTTTTGAAGAAGTACGTACCAACCAAACAGTCAGTTTTTCTGGATCCTGGCTCCAAATGCGGCAGTTTTGTTTGTTGACGTAGCCATTCAACCAGAAGTGCGCTTCATCGCTAACCAAAATTCGATTATGAAAATCGGGAACAACGGCAATCTCGTTTTGGGCCCATTCGACGAATCTACGCCTTACTTGATGATCGTTTGGCTTCAATTCTTGCACGAGTTGGATTTTGTAAGCACGTAAACCGAGATCCTTCCGCAAAATCTTCCATAAAGTGGATGGACACAGATCCAATTCCTGTGCTCGATGGCGGATGGACTCATTCGGGTCTACAGCAGCAATAGCTTCTTCTGTACGCACCGTACGACGTCTCTGGAGATGCGAGTTATCAATAAGAATAAATGTGGTGCGAAAACGTTCCATGGTTAATCGAATTAAGTGCTCTGATGGACCATTGTGTCGACGATAAAATGGACGTAGTGCGTTATACGTATTCCGCACAGAACCATTATTTTCGAAATAAAATGCACTATTTGCAAACGTTGTTCAGGCGTGAGTCTATTCATGATGAATTGCCAAACCAAACTGAGAATAAATCACTTGACAGCTGTTAAATCGGTCGCCATCTTGAACAGTAATGCCAACTTAAAGTTCTATACATCGAAAAAAAACACCCACTATTAATAAAGTTAAATTGAATCCCTGATTTCGTGCAAAAATGTGAGGGTATTTGTTGATAACACAATTATATTTAGACCTCTCTGTCTTATTTAGTCCAGCAAAGTTAATGTAAACTTAAGGTAATTAAATTAGAACAAAAAATGTTCAGATTATCACTCGCCAACACTGCGTCTTTCTCAATGACAAAGTGTGACAATATTCCAACTATATATATATAAACAGGCAGTAATAGATTATTAATTATCGTTATATTGGATGATTTAGGTTTATTGTTCTGTAAATATTTCCTGTGGTGTTTTCAGTGTTAAAAATAATCTTAAGACCAAATTGGGATAAATGTTTCGAAACTTGGTTGCTAGGTTCTCCTATGTATTTTATTGTTCTATAAATTTTGAGTATTTGAAACTATTTTTTAGTTATAATCATATTTATCAAGGAGGAGTCGTAACCATTGTTAAAAGCTATTTGTTGTATAATACTTAATTCTTTTCCAAAAATTTCTGTGGAAAGTGATATATTGTGGTGTGTGTGTGAGGGTGATTTGAGTTATTATGTATTACTGTGTTCGTGTGTGAAAATTTGTGGCAAATGGAAAAATCTAATTTATTCTGTAAT